GTGCAAAGCACTTCTCTCTGTAAAACAGTTTAAACCCTGTAATGTCTCTTCCATGCCTGGCAAAGATTGGTGGTAACTGCCAGGAAGCTGTAATGCTGGTAGAAGAGCTTGCAGTCAAATTGAAGGCAGTAGGAGGTTGTGACAGAACTGAAATGTTAAAGAACAACAGTTTTGTGTTTTTTTTCTCTGTTGATTATTGATGCGAAAGTGAATTGATCATCCTTGTGAACTACCAAAGCATTAGATGTTCCCAAGGGCATTGCGGAAGATCATCACCAGAGGGAACTGTGTATATACATTGGATATACATTATATCCTAAGCGTGAATACGTGCTCTACGGATAGTTGGGCAAGCGATTGTGTTGCAATGGCAACATTCTAGCTTCCAGATTCTTCAATTCACTTGCAATGCAAACAATCACATCACAAACTGTATTATATCAAGTATCAATAAAAATATTGTAAGTACAACTTTGTTTCATTTAGCAAACGGAGAACCTGAAGGATCTCAGTAGAGAAGATGAGGAAAGGCTAAAAGAGAATTAAAGTTATTGATTGTCAAATTCTCTTGTGGTAAGCTCTTGAATTATTTAAAAAAATTCTCACCTTACCAGGGCTTTATCAATGCATTTGTGTCATTGACCAAGCGTGAGGTCGAGATGGCTAGACTTTGGCTGAGTTTTTTTGTTTTTGTTTTTTGCATTTTTATGATCCGAGACAAAGTCGAGGTCCATGAAATGCGGAAAAAGAATGAAAAAGGAGGAGCTGAGTTCTCTTAACTCTTTTAGGAGATCGTTTCAATCTTTCATAGAAGCATATTTGAACGTAGACTGTCCCATTGCTGATGACATGGTTCTCCCTAAATCTAATAAGTTAGTATCCCTCAGAGATTTTTTGTGTACTTCTGATCACTTAACTAAATAATTCTTTAACTGATCAGGACAATTTATGTTTCAGTCGGTTTTAAATGAATACCTTTAGTTAGAATTACTCCATAAACTTCCACTCTCAGAACCTTCCAATTAATAATAGAAGAAAAAGTGTTTGCAAACAGCTTACTGTTTGTTGTATAGGATGTTTTCTTTTGAGATGAGTTTGTCAAAGAGAATTATTTCCCTTTACTGGTAACAGCTATAGAACCCTCTGTCTCATCTTGAATTAAATTCCAAACAAAGACTTACATGTATCATAGTGGACATGCGGTTTGAAATTGGAGAATATCACAAGTTTATTTTACACAGAGTTTTTAAATGAATAGATACAAATAATTGAGAATAAGTTGTGTGCTCAAAAATTTTAAACCAGTTTGAATATTTCCCACCAGTTTGAAAAACTTCTACCAATTCAAAAAAATTCAAACCAAAGAAAACATTTCACCCACAACATCTATCTGCCGCAGGGGGAGACAAACACAGGAGGAGCAAATAAATACCTTTAGTTAGAAGTATTCCATAAACTTCCACTCTCAGACATTTATGGGTATCATATGCTGTGGGCTGAAAGCGGATAAACTTTGCACTTGCAAAATCCTGAAGACTGTTTTTTACAACGCTATTTTGATCAGAGTTTCCAGCAAAGACCTATAGTTGGTGGTGCAAAATTTGAAATTATTTCATCATTATTTTCTTAATATACTGTATCATTAACTACTTTAAGTATCAGCTATTTCATAAACAGCCACTTTCAGCAACGAAATTGATGGCCAAATGATTGAATCATGAACCATGGTGACCTGTGTAAGCAAATGTCTGTAATGGGTAAAATGCTATTGAAAGACTTATTGTTTCTTTTGTTAAAAAACTAGTACAAACCAGTATGTGACCCTGTATTAAGTAGACGTTGAAATATAATTTCCGCTGATAGTTGAGGGAGAAGTAACTGTTGCTCCTGAGAGATTATTAGACGCATTGGTCAGACAAAACCCCAAAACAGATTTTTTCTAAGGGACTAAATTTCACAGAACTCAAATATAATCCCTTTGGTGTTAAACAAACTGACTAATGCAAAGTTCAGAAAACAACAGTGGAAAGGAAGGTGAAA